GGTTCGCCTTGACAGGCAAAGTCGGAAGCCCGCATCTTAAATGATCTAAAAGGTGTCGATTGAGGGGGGGAACATCTACACACACACACACACACACACACACACACACACACACACACTCACACTCACACACACACACACTCACACACTCAGACATACACACACACCCACACTCACACACACACACACACTCAGACATACACACACACACTCACACACTCACACACTCACACACACACACACACACACACACTCACACATTCACACATACACACACACACACACACACACACGCAATTTGAGAAAATAACGTCCATCTTGGATAGCACCGTACTTAACTTGTGGGGAGCCGTACAAACTCCTCAATACAAACCAAATACAGAACACCACTTTGTTGATCCATAGTCCAGCAAGATACTTACTAAATTAACGGTGTGCCAGAATTATTTTATAATTTTTAGAGAAATGCTTGCAGGAAAAAATTAGGAACTTTAATCAGCAACACTTTTAAAGTTTATTTTGTTTGAAGATTTAAAAATATTCTTGATTTCATTTTGATAAGTTTAGGAATTTTTTAGAGTAGGCCCACACACTGATACGTTGACAATTAGTATAAATTAAACTCCGATACCTTTTCAGATAACAATACATTTACACTTTACCGTGCACGGTTTTTCGAGTAACTATACACTTACAATGTGCATCACACCGTGCACTGACGCCGGTATAAAGTGTTTTCACGTAGGAAACCTGAGTTCGATTCCCGAGTGACTAAAACCTTATTCTCTCGTGGTCTAGAGGTTAATGTGTTCGCCCTCTCATTCAATAATTCCTGAGTTCGAATCCTTACTGCTGTCTTTCAGCCACATCCCTGATCTTATGGTAGATAAGACCTACACCTAGCTTTCTCGGATCAGGCCGAAAAGTTTCGGAGGTCCCGTGAGCAAGTTGCGCACGTTAAAGATCCCTTGGTAGTCCAAAATCGATAAGAGTAGACTTCGGCGCCACCTAAAATTCAAAATGACCTATACCAACTGAAAATGTTCAATGTGTCCCGTACGCTCATATGACCTTATGCAGTTGCGTGCGCCTTGAAACACTGACCAACCTACCATACCCAACCTTTATCGAGTATCTCGGTCTTTCTGGTGTGATGTTGTATCTTTCTCAGCCCGGGTTGGCCCTGACAGGCACAGTCGAAGCCCACTTCGTAAATGGTAAATTAACTGATCTAAATTGTTTTGAAGGGGAGGTAAAAACGTCTGCATTATAAACCAAATTGTGGGGAAGAAATAGTGGCGAGTAACCTTAAGGTTCTCGCACCTTATGAACCTGAAGGGGCCGCCCCCCGCTGACATTCTACGCGTCTTCGACTCGGATGCAGAGCAAGTTGGCGACAAAAATGCTACTGGGCGCCGTGGTGAAATCAGACGCTCGTCAAAATAATGAAACCGAAGACACAGGCATTTCCCCCCATCATTTAGGTAACTTTTATCGAATTTTTGTTTTTTGACTTAACACCTTTAAGGTCCACATTTTCATGAGAATTTTACAGAAAAACATTCATTAAAGGATTAAAATATATGTAAATTTCAAGTTACCGAAGTTACCAAACTTTGACGACCATTTTCTCTGAAACCAGGCAACCCCCACTTCATTCAATCGCAAATATCTCGACGCATATTCAAGTTAGATGGGTATTGTTTCATCGAAATCAAGACAAATGAACAAGCTTTAAGATGAAACCAATGACTTTATAAGGCTTAAATGTGACGAGCACCTGATTCCACCGCATCGTGACAAAACTGCTTCTGGGCGCCGGCAATGCACTTCGCGACAGGCTGACGACATAACAACCATGCTACCATTAAACATTGCAGTCTCATCTTCCGATACCCCCCCTAAAAAAAAAGGTAAAAAGGGTTGTTTTTTTTTTAAAAAGAGAGAAAATGTTCGAGGTAGGGATGTGTAAAGGAAGAACACCGGTGTCCATAGAAACAAACCAATGTTTGGAATTCGGCCAAGAGAAATGATGATGTGACAGAAATGTGAACTTCATAATAATTCATGTTTGACCTGTCAATAGGGGGAGAGATAGAAGAGGTGATGGGAAATACATAGAGAGACAGAGCCAGAGAGAGAGAGAGGAGAGAGAGAGAGAGAGAGAGAGAGAGAGAGAAAGAGAGAGAGAAAGAAAGAGAGAGAGAGAGAGAGAGGGGGGTGGGAGAGACAGATAAAGAGAGAGGGAGTGGGAGGAAGATAAAGAAATAAATATTAAAAAAGGTATAGGGAGGGGGAAGAGAAAGAAAGAACGGGAAAGAAAGGAAGAA